ACGTCACTTTTTTGTATGCTCCATTTTCTTTTGATCTGGGCTTGGACCTAGAAATGAAAAAAAAAACATTTTTAACAGATACAGATTTTGTTAATCTGATAACTAGTTGATTATGAGTTGTTAACATGATGTGAAGATTATTCTCCATCCATGAATGGGTGATACATTCAAAGAACGTTGTTATTGAGAGACAATTTCTGTTCTAAATATTCCCAAAGAGGCTAAAATATTCAAGAATTCCAGGAGAACTGTTCTCAGGAAAACACATATTTACGTCCACGAGACCTAGCTCCCCCTCAAATTTTTCAAAAGTATGCATACCATTTGTAAAAATTTGAAAAGCTTCATGAAGTAAAGTATTATACAGAATGTCAGATTATACCAAATGCACAAACCAAAATGATATAGGTTTACTGGAGATTAAAAATTATATTGTATATAAAAAAACATGTTATTTTGGATGTTACTGCAGCTAGATGCCGGGAAGAATCCTGCATGAAAAAGGGATATATGCAAAAAGGACTTGTGAAAATCAGGCACACTAATTGTGGATGTATAATCAAAAAGGATGAAAGAAGTATACGTAGTTGTCATCAATAGAAAAAAAAGCCCTTTGGGCTGCTTGAATGACAATGATGGTTGGTTTTAGTGACCAAAAATGTTAATTAGTAGGGTCAGCTACTACAGAAGTTCAGCTATGAAAAACAATCCAAATGATAATTCAGAATACTATTTCATTGTGGTATATGGAGATTTTTTCCACGATTTGAGTTAAGTTTTATCAATACTACTATCACGTTTTCAATTTGAAAAATTTCCGTTGAGCTGACATGATAACACAAACAACCCATTTTAACGAATTTATTTCCCCTTCAATCCATTTTATCAATCATCAGCTAATCTTACTAATTGAATATGAGACCATCAATGTTTTTAATTAAAACAGATTACCAGGGTGTGTTTAGGATTTTCAAGTGTATTTCGTTTCTGTAATACATACCTCTCCATTGCAGAAACAAAAGAGGATTGCCACACAAAGACCCTGCAAAACAAAAATACACAAGTTGATGATAATGGTTCTCAAATTCGATTGTATAGAGAGTTTTCAGAAGTATTATTGGCAACTTCAAAGGAAAATTATTCTCGTGATGAGATACTCCTTCAAATAATGAGATGTGATAGAAAATAATGGTAGCATATAAGATTTGTATATTTTCATTGAAATATATAAGCTCGTTAAAAATAATTGAATTATTGATACACTGACAATAATTTGGGGTTTTCGAAAGTTTCTCAAATATGAAAGACAGGTGTCTTTGAAAATTCAGAAATACTCTCAAATGGAATAATTCATTAACAAACAAAAATTATATAAATCATCATGAGGAACAATTCGTTCAGGCCAGTCTCAACTTCCTATATTATAAGTTAATAGACTGACACCTATCAGAAAACAACTACTCTCCTGGCTGATACCACGAAGGGCGTTGGATTATATCCGACAGGTGTCAGTGCAGGATTCTTCATAGAAGTTATTTCTGCATATGCTGTTGGCGATACAACTGCTGGAATCGATTTTCAATTAATGGAACACATTTGCCGACCGGTTTCGGACTGTTTGGCAACTCGTCAGCGCAAGGTAATGTCTATCATCAACATAAAGTCGATGATTTCCGATAATTGAAAATAGAATTTTTTCAGAGTATCATTTCTCGACCTACGCTGAAGCGGACAACAAAGAACAGGTTTGTCATCGCCCCATCTGCCTGTGAACGAGGTAACCATCCGCAAATCCGAAATTTGCCAAATAACTCGTATAAGGAACGAAAAATTTTCACGGGCAGATTGGTTGATGACAAACCTCTTGTTTCTTGTCCGCTTCAGCCTAGTTCGAGGACTGATACTCTGAAGGAATTCGATTTTCAATTATCTGAAATCATCGACCTTATGTTGATGATAGACACTACCTTGCACTGACGAGTGACCGAATAGCCCGAAACCGGTCTGCAAGTGTGTTCCAATAATTGAAAATCTGTTGCGGCAGTTGTATCACCAACAGCATATGCAGAAATAACGCGAGTGAAGAATCCTGCACTAACCCCTATCGGATATAATCCAACACCCTTCGTGGTATTTGCCAGGGGAGTAGTTATTTTCTGATAGGTGTCAGTCTATTAACCTACAGTTTAGGGAGTTGAGACTGGCCTGAACGAATTGTTCCTTTAGATGATTTGATTTATAGCCAGTCTTCAAGTATGCCTACTGTCTGTATAGATAGGTAGATAGATAGCACTTCATTTCCAATAGGTTTACACCCAATTACAGGAAATGATGAAGAAAATATACTGAAAAAATAACATTCAATTAAATTAAATTCACTTATTACATATTAAATTGGCAACTTACAGATGATATTAATAATATAAATGAAATAATATAATTAGATTCAATTGACATATTATAAATGAATTAGCCTTCACAAGGTTGACATAAAACAAATTTGAAGTTATTTAAAAAAACTATAGATGAAAGGTTCTATGTAAGATACAGTCCTTGATAACGTTCAAACAGTTTCCATTATTGTCACTTATGTTACATACTAAATTGAAATTATAACACATTAAATTTACTGGTGCTTGGAGATTCACATTTGTTCTACTACTCTGACAATGAAATGTTTTCTCGTATCTTGAGTTGAGGCGTGGTACATACATACATGTAGGAGCGGAGTACAGGAGATGTTATTATTTATTAAATTATACAGAAATGTGACCGTAATGAGAAGTTTACGTGTATTCAGTGATATAATATCAAATTGGTTCAAAAGGATGGAATAGTCAATTCCCCTTTGGGGGTGAATACCTGTAGTGCGAAAAGACAAGAAATTCAAGAACTTCCTTAGGACAGTTTCAATTTGCTGTGTATGAGAATTATAAATGGGATATCAGATCATCGCCCCATATTCTCGTTTGTACCTCACATAAGCATAGAATAGCGTGATTATCACCTTAGTATCTCTAAATTCTCTGGTGTTCCTCATTATGAAGTCCAACATTCGACTAGCGGATGAAACAGCTTGGTCTATATGAGAAACAAAAGTGAATTTCTGATCAAAATTAATGCCAAGGTCTTTCATTTCATTAACTGAATTTCGTAAATAAATTGTATTAGACTTTCCTTTCTGGAAAAAGGTAATACATGACATTTAGCATTGTTGAGATTCAAACGATTATTGGAACACCGATCATATATCAGATCTAATTCATACTGTAAGTCTAAGCAGTCTCCATAATTTTTCATCACCTTAAATATTTTAAGGTCATCAGCGTAGAGCAGTTTTCAATTGTTTATTATTTCAATTAAATCATTAATGAAAATCAAAAACAGAGGTACTAAGTTCGAGCCTTGGGGCACTCCGGAACTGGGAGTATATAAAGCAGATTTGAAGCCTTCATACTCTACATACTTAGTTTGATAGTTTGACATGAGTTTCACCAATTTTACTGAAAAACCAAATTCTGAGATACGCTTGAGAATAATGAAGAAATCTATTTGATCAAAAGCTTTTTGGATGTCTGTATAAATGACGTCAACCTGCAGTTTCCTTTCCAAGGACACATTGTGAAAGATATGCAAGATTGGTTATGCACGACTTGTTTTCTGCAAACCCATGCTGATCATCTGATATGATATTTCGTATTGGATTGTAAATATTAGAGTATAATAATAATTTGGAGAAATTGCTCAGTATTGAAGTGGCTCTATAGTTTTTTATTGATGTAATATCACCCTTTTTAAAAATTGGGCATACTCGAGTAAGAAGTTTGCAAATGCATCCATAACTTCCTGCGGTTTGGTGTAAGTTTTAGTTTCATCCTTCATAACTTCGGGAATTTTTGAGTTACTTCTTTTGTTCCGCATGAAATTCCAAAATGCACTTGGATCTTCGTTAATTTTGTGTTCACTTTCATTAAGGAAGTTTTTATAAGCATTGTTTATTTGTTCTTTCACTTCACTTCCTAACGTAATAAATTGCTGCTGATAAAAATATGTTTTATGTTCTTTCAGGTCTTTGTGGGCCTGTTCTTTCTTATGAATGTTTTTAATTATGTGAAAAACTATATGTGTATATGATATGTGTGCATGTTAAAAATTATATAATAAACAAATAGTATGAGTACGTATACTGTTGTGTTGGATAGTGTTAATATTACTATTGTATTATTATATAATGAATGAAATTAAAGTCGTAATATCTTGTTGTTTCTGTGAAAAGATTCATTCGAGAAATACTTGTTATATAATGAATAGTCGAACTGTATGATGTCGTCGTGAAAGTGTCAACGTGTCAATGAAAGCGTGTGCCAATTAAAGGCATTTGAGGAAAAATAGTGGGTTATTTTGTAAATTTTGGTTCTCAGATAGCTCTGTTTCATCTCATTCATGAACCGGCCTAGTATCACTGATGATACCAATGCCAGATCGGAACAGCGCTATCAGGATGCAATCATTTCGCAATATATTTGTGAGAGTAACGACCTCCTTCAGGCTTTTTGTTTCTTTTTGCTTTAGTGATTTTGCTCTTCTTTTGATTATTTTGATCCCTCAAATTATGTTATTATAAGGGAAGTCGTGAATGTTGTTTCTGACTCAGAATTCATTTCAGAATAGGTCTAATGTATCCATGACCTAACCAAGTACTAATGACCTACAACAGATGGAAACGGCACTTTTTAATATATGATCTTGTTTAATCTAGTTGTTGGTAATTGCAGTGAAAGTTGCAATGGTCGACGTTAAAGGACCGACGCGCCGTTGGGAAAAAAACGTTGGGATGTTTTCCGGAGACTTGGAAGAAATGGACCGCTTCTAAATAGTTGGAAAAAGTGAACAGCAAAGTGAAGACAAAACATTGATTCTCCTTTTGTGATATTTCATGGCGAATATCAAATGAGGATTCGTTCGAGCTGAAAGAATGAATATCAAAGTGGTTAATTGACAATTTAAGCTGATCTTGTCCAATTTTTACAAATATAATGAAACTTCCGGGCTGTTTCCGCTTCCAACATCGCATTGAGAAAATGATTGCCATGCCTGTACGTATAAGTTCATCTTCGGTGAAGCATCTGTATTATGAAAGCATTCCACATGAAACCCACTCGTGCCAGTTTGGAGAATTGATTTTTTGACACTCCCAATTATTTTCCAAAATTCATTTTTAATGAATTTTTAATGAAGCTATGAAATGTGGTTTTGACAATTCTTGCATATCCGCAATTGCATGAAATACACCATACAATAACGTTTTTGAGTTTAGGACAGTTCACATAGTTCAGAAGATATGCCAAAGGCACAAAAGTTCTTCAATTTGATTTTAACCTTTCTCTGACGTTGAGAAAGTATTGAGAAACATAAAAAATCTTTCCTTTGCCTATTTTCAGGCGGAAACAGATGTCTTCCACAGAACTTCAATCCCACTTTTCGTCTTCGAGAAATCATTATCAATTTAAATTTTTTATATGAACTGGAAAAATGAAGCATTCGGTATAAGTTTGTCTTTATGGCGACAACTCAACTGATTATTCACACCAATCGATACTTGTTAGATTTCAAAACGTTATTCAACTCTGAAACTTTTCCTAATTCAACCAACTTTGTATCTCTTGAAAACTCAGAATGGTACACATTTATATAAGTGATACACTAGTTTGTGGACAGAGACATTCGATATCTGTATTTTCTGTTGACGACAATAACTTTAGTCATCAATTTCAAAGTTACTTTGTATTTATCTATCATCGTAATTGCCTCGTTACATCGGATTGAATCGATATAGAATTTGATGGGAGTCGTAAAATAGTTGAGGATGTCTGCATTAATGTAATTTTCCCTCTCTTTTCACAGTGGACTCTCAGTCTTTCCTCAACTACAACCATCACACCTTTGAATTTACAAAAAAAGGTGGGCTGTACTTAACGGTATCGTTGCGTTAAGGGAAGCTGTCAATATAAATCACAAGTTGTATAGTTGATGGCGACCGTT